CTCTACGACACTTGACTTTACCACACTTGACTCTACGACACTCTCTTTAGACTCTCTATAGACTCTCTATAGCCGACACTCATGGCCCCAAAACTCATGGCTAATGATGCTTTCGGGCCACTCGTCTTCTAGTGTTTTTGTGGCCTGTGCGCATCATCCTAAGCACTGGTCCTGAAGTTCAGACCGCCACGGTCCATTTCGCTCAAGAGCGCCCTTGAGGAAGAGCATTCACTGTTCGAAAGCAAAACTTCAGTGTTTGTGCACTGCACCGATAGCCTGAGCCCGAAGCCCCTATAGCATGGCATTGCGGGCCGACCAGGCATAGCAGCTGACCCCCTGATGAAAGGTCCTCCTCATGGTGCAGCGCCTTTCGGCAGAGAAGGCACGTGCGGCTTGTGCCCATGGCGAGCATGTTCCGCATTCCGTGATGCTCCCGTTCAGGGCACCGAGCGCGTCTTTCAGGCCCTAGTGCCCAAGGAGGATCTGCGCCGCCTCTGAGTTTCAGAGGAGCCACGTGGAGTCGAGCAGAGTTTTTGACCAGGAGGGCGGTCAAGGTGTCAAGGGCGTCTTGGCAATAGCAGGCGATGGACCATCCAAGGACATTGCAGGGTTGAGGGGCAGTGAGGGGCAGTCGGGACATGTTTGAAGTCACGCCGAGCTTGGGAATTAAGATACGTAGGGGATTCATAGCAGCATTTGATGCCAGGACTTCTTGGTGCAGGAGGCCACCAGGCTCCGCCTGCGTGTGGCCCAGCCCTCGAACTTCGGACCACATTGCGATGTTCAAGGGCAGCACATCGCAACAAATTCCTTGGGCCGTGAATGTGTAGCTTGAAGTTCATTGTCTGATGCAATTGCCCGCTGCTTTTGACGCAGCCCCACCAGAATCTCGTGACTGGAGCAAGCCATGTTCCGTGCCTGTTAGCAAGGTCTTCCTTGGAAATGTACCGCACCAGGCTTGCCAGAGCGTGGTGGGGGGGGGGTTCCAGATTCGAAGCAGGCGCCGTACTGCTTGGCCGCGAGGAGCTTCCGCAGTTGTACAGATCTGCGGACTGCTTCGTGACGATGAGCCTCTCAGAGACCTTCGGCCTGACGTGCCTCGAGGCTCCGACTGCCGCGTGGACGAAGTGTCTGCTTGTGAGCCTTGCGAAGTCATTCTGCAGGCGATGATGTGCGGATGTCCTGCCGTGATGCCATGTTGTTCAGTCTTCGATGAGATCTGGTTGGACAAGGACAAGCCGCTGACTCCCAAGGAGATCAGTCCGACACGTTTTGCCAAATACCTAGTAGACCCCAAGAGCTAGTGCGAAGCTGTCAGCTTCAAGTGCTGGGCTATATGTCTTGCAGGAGTGGCACTACAACATCGAATCCACCGAGGAATTTGCCGCAGCTATGGCACGTGCTCAAGCTAGTGGCCGAAGCTTGGCTGCGACCGCGTAGACTCACAAAGGCCGAGCGGCTTAGCCCCTTTTCCTGGTAAGCGAGAGCTGATTGACCAAGGAAAGTATCTTCAGGAACATCCAGGCGTGTGCTGGGCGATCATGTGCTTCACTGCTGATTGCCGCTAGGGTCTCCCCTAGGCACTGGCCACCTTGCTACTAGTAACAGCTGCCCACTGGCCATGGCCCAGTTCGGATGACCTGGAAAGATGCTGCGGAGAATCTTCTCGAGCAGTGCTCCCCTGGCGCTGGAATCGCAGAGAACCGCATGTGCAAGTTGCGCCGACTGTGAATACCTTGTAGCCGGCCCGTGGTTCACAAATCTCTTTGAGTCTGTCTCCACGAGCCCTAAAGCGGCTTGCATGAGTTCATGTCCCGGCAGGTACGAGGAGTGTATCAAGATGAACCAGAAGAAAAGGCCGCATGTTGCATGTGTTGTCGACCAATTGCCTGCACAATGCATGCAAAGTGTGGATTGTTGTCTATAATCCGGATGCAGCATGGCAGAGACTGTCATTGTGAGTGCAGCCTTGTGATGTTGAGGGAGACCTTGCGTGAACTGGTTCTGTTCCTGGACCACTGCGCCTCCCTCAGCCTAGGGCAGGGGACATGACCAGGACCACAGTAAAGGGTTTTGACTGACAGGATGATGTTGTTTCAAGCATCTGTGCTCGCTGGACCTCCATGTGTGAAGAGTGGCTGCGGCCCGGTAGTCGGAGGACTCCCGGCTCGGAGTGATCAGGGGTCGTGCACGGTTGGACTTAGGTGTAAGGGTTGCCGTTTGCTCCCTGGCTGCGTGCTGGCCTCAGCTGCGTGCAAGACACAGCAACTCCTCAGCCCTGCTGCGTGGAGCACCGCTGGTTCGTAAGGTCTTGGGTCCTTTGCCGGTACTACTGGCCGGTTCGCGCCTTAGACGTTCAAACGCAGGCTGCTGCTTGACGCGAGGTGAACCCGCAAAGTTAGTTTCGAGTTCCAAGGTCGTGAAAGGCTTCGGCCGGCAGCTGGGTCTCGAAGAGTTCATGCGCTGACGCCACCCCGTTCCGCTTACATTTTGCCACCTTTTAATCTCTTGAGCCCGTACAGGGTGCACCAGCAAGTGCTCGCCGTAGTCGAAAAAGTTTTCCCATGCGGCTTCGGAGCTCACGGGCTCTGCAACAGAAGAGGAGTTTCGCCCCACAGCTGACCTTTTTCATTGCTCCGCTCAGTTGCAGCTTGGCTGAGACGCTTGAACTGGGCGAAGCGACCCGTCTGTTGCCATGGCATGGGTGCTTCGTTCTGCGGTGCTCTTTCTGGCCTGCTTCGGAGTGACTGCCTCCGGCAGTGGAGCGGACACGCACAACACCGATGATTCAGCTCATGCAAACGGGGTGGGCTTTGCCGTTGCAGCAGAGTCGAAGCAGACACTGACAGGCAAAGCCTTGAGGGGTCCTGCCACGAGAGAGCGAGAGCCGGACCCCAACCAGGATCCCATCCCGATGCCAAGCATACATTTCATCGCTGAGTACATTGACATGGCATCCAAGCAAATTGCTACGGAGCTCGCATACATCCCAGCCCGGCCGTATCTGAACATCATCACGAACTCTTCGCCGATGCAGCTCGTGATGGGTGGTGTAGCTTCTTGGGCATATGACATCGAATATTTCAAAGGAGCGTACCCCGAAGGGTGGGCCGGCGGATGGAAGGTCGTGGCTGAGTACGTCAACACCACACAGTCCCTCATGGTTGATGGTCACGACGTGGTCGTTCTGATGGCCAAGGGAAGCGTCTGTGCTGTGACCTTCTCAGGGACACACGGACTGGCAGATTGGTCCACAAACTTCAATCTGCGATTTTCGAGTCTGCCACAGTGTGGAATCTATGGAGTGCATGAGGGATTCTTCGAGAATTTCTTGCAGTTCATGCTCAACGACGCGTGGAGTGAGAAATTCGAACCGTACCTGGCAGAAAACTGCACGGAAGTTCATGCCACAGGCCATTCCCAAGGCGCAGCTGTGGCAGTGGCTCGGCCGCAGCCAGGCCCACCGCCCCCGCATCCCCCAAACCCTCATGCAGAGTCGAGCTTCGGGTAGCAGTGCCTGAGGCGGTGTTCGCTGCTTGCATGAACGCAGCGGGCAACAACCTCACTCTGCCGGATCTCTGGCGCTGGGGAAAGCTGGTCCATAAAGGACGCACGGTTTCGACTCGCGTCAACGTGACGGATCTGCACGGCTACGGTGGTCCCGGCCTTAGTGTTTGTTCCTCGCAGCGCTCGGAACGAAGTAAAGCGTCGGTACAGTGTACCAGAAGTAGCCGGAAGAGGTCCATCAGCTATCCGAGGTCCTGGAGTCTCGCAAACACAATTCTGGAATTATCTAGCTCCAGATGGAGTGTTTCCTGGGTACCGTTTCTACAATCAGGACTACATGTCTTTTGACCCTGTGCCGTGGCTCACTTATGCATTCAGATTAGCTCACACAAAAGAAGCGGTGGTGAAGATGTCAGACAGGCCACAGAGGTGGGCTGCAGGAACATCAGAGTCCATGTTCGAGCCCACCACGGTGTCTTTCGTCCCTGACATCATGATTCACCTTCCGGCAGAGTACATCCGCCGCATCCTCGTGGCTACTCGTTTCGTGAATGTGAAGGTGGCCTATGCGCAGGGCCTTCCCGAACGTTCTGCACGGCCTTTGCTGGCAGGGAAGCCCAGTTGCTATGCCACTGTCGAGGCCGTGAACCGGAAGTGGGCTGTGACTCCTCGCACCTCTACGAAGAAGAACACGGCATCACCGACTTGGGGTGAAAGTATGCTGCTGGAGGAGTACGAGCCTGGAGACGAGCTTGAGGTGAAGCTCTGGGATGCAGTCTGGCCCTGGGGAGCTGACAAAGCTCTCGGGCGTTTAAACTTGCAGAGCCAAGCTTTTGACCCCCATGGCTTTGAGGGATGGGTTCCCATGGACTCTGGAATTCGTCTGAAGGTCAGCGTTGTCATCTCATATCGCGACCTGGACAGCGTGTGATGTGGCAACACCTCTCGCAGCACTCTCTGGACACCTTGCACAACGCAGGCTGCAAATCGGAGTTGACCGGCCAACCATGGGAGGACACATAATAGCCGCAACCAGTCTGGCGGGCGGAAGAGCGGCCCTGTCACCGAAAACATGCTGTGACAGAATGCTAGTTTGGCTGCAGTTGTGGAAGACCTAGCTGGAGCCACAGAGCTGTCTCCCCACCCAAGCCTGACACAGACGTTGCAGTCCCGCCGAATTAGCATTTAGAGCAACTGCTGGCCACTCATATCGGTTCTCCACTCCTGCGGCACATGGCACTGTGCAGCCATGCAAGGTTGAACTGTATAGATTTGCATACATTCGCATGTGGTAGTCCGCGAGTTTGAAATTTGATGGGCTACCAGGAACGATGATGCCTGCATGAAACCGTGATGGTTGATGCAAATTCACATACAGAACCAGACGGCGTATACCCTCACTCTGGGTGCCGTGCTGTAGTAAAGTGCATTCAAAGTGGCCAAAAATAACATTGCAAACTACTGACTCTGCCGCTCACGACCGCAATCTGTTAAAGCATGCAGGAGCATCTTGTGCCTGAGTCAATTCTCAGCAGTGAAATCATTGCGGACCCAGCGAAACTCCGGCGAAGGAGGTCTTTGCCCGATGTCGTTGCTCCTTGGTGCTTCAAGCTGCAGTAGTCTGCAGTTCTTGCCCCCCCCGCCTTTCCCCTTGGCTCCTTTCGCTGGCGATGGTGTGTCCGGCATTTCCAAAGGCGAGAAGGACAACGTGGTGTTTCCGTCTTTGCCCGGATGCTTGCTTGAATCGTCCAGGCGCTGGCACGTGGCCTCCTCGCGGTCTCTGAGGACTGCAGATTTCCTGAGAGCACAGATTGGACAGCATTGTCGTGTTCTGCATAGGCAACATCGAGATTTCCATCCACCAGCCGGATGGTAACATGTAGTGGTATGCTAAAGCTGTCGTTCTTCCATGAGTGAGTTGAGAGGAGGAGCTGATCGACCTCTGCGTTGTGCAAGTTAAACCAGACTTGCACTCGCGGCTTTGAAGGCCTGATATTCGGGGCCTGAAGGCAAGTGCTTGGCGAGCTGTGCACAAAATTGGAGCTAATTCCATGGCTTGTTGCTTTGGTCGTTGATCGTTGCAGTGCGGAAGGAAGGCAGTATACTGCTGGGACTTTCTCTACATATTTGCTACTGCAGGGCTCTTGCGATGGCCCCAAAAGACTGTGATATCAAGACAGCAGGAGTTGACTCAGCAAGAAAACCTATAACGGACATCACACCAATGTGTACCGGTGAACGAGTATCTGACAGTGATGACAGAAACTGCACAACTGGACTCACCATCGTAGCAATCGAAAAACAAAGCCCTGCTAATCAGCTGTGATGTTCTCCTTGCTGGCGACAGCAAATGGTGGCAGCTTCAACCTACGCGGTCGCGCACCATCATGCCCTGCGAAAGGCAAAGTTCCTCTCGCGCCTTGGCAGAAATCCTGTAACGTGCTGACAGAGAAGTATCTTATCCCTACTTGCAGATCTTATGTCTTATGTCACTTATGTCTTATGTGATTTATTTTTGTAGACGAACTCTTGAGCTTCTTCCCTGTTCGGCAAGGCGTCACGTGCTGCAGGGCATCAGTGATGCCGAGAAAGCCATCGTCGCCGATGCTGAAAAAGGCCGCGCAGCCGAGGCGTCGGAACGCGAGGCGAGACTTGAAGAGATTCAGAATGATACAGATTTCTCCGTCGAAGTTGTGGAGTGCTGCTTTGGGGTGTCTTCGTTTTGTGTGGTGCTGGGCAGGTGGAAGCAGCTGCGCTGAAAGTCAGAGCTGACACTTGTGCCTCGTTGAGAACTCGAAGCCGATAGTGTGCGGCCTCTATTCTGGACCTGTTCGGGCATCTTGTGTTTGGGCTCTGGGATCTGGTCGGTTGATCCAAGCCGAACTTGTCACATGTATGCCGTCTCCAAGAAAAGGAAGAGCTGAGAGCCTGATCACTCGCCAAGAAACTGTGCCTTCAAGAGAAACAATGCACAGGCATGGAGGTGGTCAAGATGTGCGAGAAGTGCAACGTACAAGTTGATGACATGCTTCGGCAGATCGGCCAGTGTCTGCGACGCCTTCAACATGCTAGAATCTTGGATGCACTTGGCTGCACTCTCGAAGCCTGCATTCGTGTTAAGTTGACAAACTCCTCACGATTTCTGTTGCGTGGCGAAGGATATGCTCAGTTTGCAGACCTGAAGGCCAGTTTCAATGATCTCCCACTGTCTGAGCACGCACCACCTACTAGATGAGCTCAAGCGTGAAGCGTGTGAGTTTGCAGCATAGTCTGGCTCCTCCAATGCGGGCCTCGATGGTTTGGCCTTGCTGGCCAGGTCTGCCAGCAGCGTCTTTACTTGCGGTCAGATGCTCCTTCGGAGGAAGTGCTGCTGTGGAAAGCATGGTCACGGTCGCAGCTGCAATGCATGCATACTGCTGAAGGAGATGGCCGGCGATGCTGCGCAGAATTCTTTGGAAGAGCAACGGGTGTGTATAAGCCTCTCGACTTTAATTCAACTAATTAACCGGGAGCCGGGCAGTAGCATGATTCTGCCTGAAGGAGCTGTCAGCAGCATTGGCCGTGCGACAAGAGCCGAGGTGAGGCGAGGAACGAGCTCTTGAACCTTGAGGGCGAATGCCGGCGGGCCTTAGAGATGATTGGACAGCCGCGTCCTCGACGGTGCAGTCAACAAAAGAAGAAAGGGAAGACGACTTGACTCTGAGGCTCAGACTCGACCTCTCCAAGGCACTCGGCTCCCGCCACTCCCGTGCAGTGCACTGCAGTGCTATGCAGCCGGTCGTCCGGTGCTAGCTTGTCGAGGAGGGTGCCTCTCAGCGACACAGCGCTGAGCGCTGCCGAGCCATGGTTGCCATCCTCCTGTCAGTCTCAGCCGACCCAACAGAAGGCCAGCTGACACATGCTCGCCGCAAGCGTGGACGTGTCGTGTCGGTGGTTTCAACTAACTGGCCCAGTGGGGGTCTGAGCTCGAGCTCGTGTCGACTGGACATGACTGGACCATACTAGACTGACTAGACCACATGGCCGATCTATGGATTTCTGTGCACAAAGTGACGAAGCCGTTCTGCATGTTGCGGGTGCAGGTGAGGCCCGGTCCTTGCTTGCGGGATACGGCGGATAGGGCGGATAGGGCTTCCTTCCTAATGATGTCCCCTCGCTCTCTTCGTCCTTGTGTTTCCTTTCTCTTCTCTTCGTGTCCTTGGTCGATTTGGCCGCCACTGCCGACATCGTCACTTCTGCGACGAGTCGTTCTTCGGATTTGCCACAAGCGGATCTGACATGCGTCGCATGTGTGGACGGAGTGGATGTGGGGATTTGGACAGCTGGAAAGTTCGGATGCAAGGGATGCAAGGAATTTGGCCACTCGTGCATGGGTAATTAGGGGATGCTCGTGAGGGGCCACAGCACTGGTCGTCAGGCAGAGAGGGCAGGAGGCTTTTAATTACGCGACTTTTTGATGCTTCATGACATGCTTGAAGCATCTGGGCTATCCTAGCTGCGAGCAACACGAACATGCCCAGATGTCGACGTCCCCGAGCCTCGGAATGCAGAGTTGGGGCAGCGTGCGGAGATGTTGCTCGCTGCCGCAGCGGAGCTCGCAACCCGCTGCCCGGAACTTGGAGAGAAGATCTTCAAGTCAGTAGACATGTAGAAGAAAGCTGCTTTGGCACTAGGCCAGCCGTCGCCGGCGAAGCCTTCACATGTGGTTGGCCTGATCGAACCTGAGGTGGCTTGGCTGTGCAGGGCACAGATGAACGCTGCCGGAGAGCCAAACAGCGGTCCGAGCTGCTGCTCGAGCGAAGGCTTGGAGCATCAGAGTGTCTCCACTCTCACTCCAGCATGCCGGACCGAACGCATGATTCCAAGGCTGATGGACACCGAGAAAGCATCAAAACAGCTGCGGGAACAGGCTTCCGAGGCTGACACGTTCAAGCGACCATGCGAGCACTTTGCCGAGATGTAAGCACAGGTGGACTTCACCATAGCGGTGGCAGAAAGATCCTTGGCGAGGAGCGCGAAGCGCTGTGCCGGCAAGGAGAACCTGGCCAAGGCAGGGAGCCGAAGCAGCGGCAAGCGAGCGGCAAGCGAGCCGGCTTTCAAGTGTCCGTCTACAGGTGGCTAAGATCGATGCCACGAGGACGGCGCTGGACCACCTTCGGCAGACACGGCAGGCTCACTCTATTCATTGCATTTTCCGAAGGCCCATGACTATCGCATTGCTGCCAAAGCGTTCAGGCTTTGAAGATTCACATTCAGAACAAGTTCAAAATGCAGACCATCGATGCGCCCAGTCCTCGCTGTCACAATTAACCCAAGTTCTACCGCGTGTTGGGAGGGGTACATCACTTTACTTGACCGCTGAGGTCGTGCCGAAAGGCTCTGACCTCGGCACAACCGCACATTTGCGTGTTTTCCAAACATGCCGGATGCCAGCTTTCGAAAACAGGGGCTCTGTTTCTTCTCCTCCCGTGCTGCCAGCATGAGCTTCCGTCTGTTCCGAGTGCTTGCATGCTACGGGTTCTCCCAGTACAAGCACTGTTTCTCTGAGGTTACTTCCCAGTCTGCCAGTTCCGTGGAGACACGTCCAGCCACCGCCAGCCTTGCCAGCCAGCGCTCCATGTCAGCAGCAGGCACCGGCATGAACGTGACCACGAAGCGAGACCACACATTCTGCTGCCAGATGTTGCAAGCATGCAACCGAACCTCACGAACCAGGGCGTTGCTCCATGACTTGAGAGGCCCCAGAAGGCCAGCAGATGACGGCTTTGAGAAGGGAAGGCGACGGCTTCTTCCCCAGAGTGCCAAGCCGACTTGCGGCACTGTTCCAGACTTGCAGGGGCTTGCCGCGGCTTTCTACGGACTCGGCATGCAGCCTCGTGGTACCGGAAGCCGACGCGCCCTCTGCAGCCAGGCAGCCGTAGCCTGCTGGATCATGAGGTGTCTTTCAAGAATTTGCTCGAAGATGCATTCTGATGGCGACACCTTCTGTTCAGAGATACTCACAGATACTCCACGTCTGAGGCTAAAGCTGGCTTGCTCAGCCACGTGAAGCCCAAACTGTCTCGTGCTTTCACAATATTCCCCCCGCGCGCGCGCGCGCGCGCGCGCGCGCGCGCGCCTTTGCAGGTTGAATCGTCCAAGGTCTGCGGCGACCTACAAAGTGAGAGGTTAGTCTTCCGAGTGCTTTTGTTCTTCCCCGTGTCGAATCTACCCACGGAGCTCTCGGGCATTGCAAGCGCACATGCCACCTGATGCCTGCACATTGCTGCAGCTGTATGTTGTCAATGCTTCAACTCTTCACGCTCAATGAGAGCTATGCAGAGTTGTCTGTGCTGCAGTGTTCTTGTGCCTCTCTTCATAGATGGAAACAGTCACGCAGAAACTTAAGCAATGCAGCTGCCAAGGAGGCACGGGACGGTCTGCTGGTGCAGAGTTTCACCTCTTCATTGTACATCAACTTATCCTGGAAAAGTTGGAACCCCTTGAAAGCGCGCATAGTACAGCAAGCATCTTGAGCACTTGTTGCCAACTCTCCAGGACAGTTTGACTCAACGCAATCCCGTAAGACTGGCGTGGTCAAGCCACAGCCGCGGAATTGTGCTTGGAGCCAGGCCCAACCATTACCATCAAGAGAGTCCGAAGGACGCCTCAAGACAAAAGCTGCTACCTCAGCACATTCATAGGAAGACTGACATGCGGTCGTGATCGCTCGTGGTCGTCCTCGATGGCATCTTCTCGCAGCCGTCTTTGCAGTTTGGAGTTTGCACCCGCTCCAGAGCTTGGCCTCGCCCAGAGCTGCGAGGAGCCTTTTGCTCTCTTAGGTCCAAAGACGGCTGCGAGCCATTCGTCCAGAGATGTGCAGACCCGGCCAAGTATGTGCGAATGCAGGGCGACCGGTGCCTCCCAGCCCGGTCTGGCAAGGGCGGAGGCCTTGGCTGGCAACGGGCTTTGATATCGCTAGCTTTACCGGGCTCTGATTTCCAGGCCCGGCACCCGTTGAAGCAGTATGGGGCTGGCATCACTTCATGTGGCAATGCAGCAGAGTGGAGGCATGCAGTGCAACTGGCAAAGCAAATACTGGTTGAGAACATTGAGTTGGACACTGTCGCATGTAGCGCTCTTGCAACAGCATGCCAGAGAGCTGCATGCTGGCGCGGAGCCTTGCGGTCCTTGAGGCAGATTGCCGATCTGGGTCTGCAGGACGATGTCACGGCCCAGAACGTGCTGGGCAGGGTTGGACGGTGGCAGCTCGCAGTCGGAGTCGTTTTTGGACTCCGCCGAAAGCGACTTCGACAGGACGCCTACTCCCTGACTTCGGCTCTCCGGTCTGACATGCAGAGCTCGCAGACTGCGCAGAGCTGGCGCTGGGCGGGGAAGCTCCTGGAGGTCGCCGGAGCAGCGCTGCTGAGAGCCAACGCGGTCTGCCAAAACTCGGCGCTGGATGTCTTTGCGAGAGCCTCGCAGTGGCTCGCGGCGCTGCAGCTTCTCAAAAACTGGGTGATGCGACGCGGCGGAGTGGATGTCATCACACTTACATCGACAATTCAGGCTTGCGGCGCGGCGACCGACTGCGAGCAAGCTCTGGCTCTATTGAAACTTGCAGACGACCCAATCTTTCCAGATCCAGATGTGATTATGTTCAATGCGGTCATTCACAGCCTTGAAGGCAAAGGGGACTGGCAAACGGCGTTTGCTCTTCTGTTTGAGGTAGAGGCTAGGCGCATGCGGCCGGACGTGGCCACCTATACATCAGCTATCGGCTCGTGCAGGCTAGCAGGCGCATGGCCGCAGGCGCTTCTCATGTATGCACGGGCTCGATCGCGAAAAGTACAGGTAGCTCGGGTTTGCTCTGCAGTCCTCATGGTTTGCGAGAAGTCCGGACGGTGGCAACAAGCAGTGGCGTTGCTCAGCGAGGTGGCGATGTATGTGCCACCAATTGTCGATATTCTTTGCTTGAACATAGTGCTAGGCAGTTGTGATAGGGCTTCAGTTCACCAGGGGGCACTGCAGCTGTTTGACTCCTTCGGTGAATGGCTTGTGCAACCAGATGCGTGCAGTTACAACACGGTAGTCTCGTCCTTGGGCAAAGCGGCTGTATGGCAGCAAGCCTTGCATCGACTGGATGACATGATGGACAAGCAGCTTCTTCCAGATGCTATCAGCCGTGCTTCACTGATCAGCACGTCCGAAGCAGCTCGATGGCAAAACGCTTTGTCTTTGGTTCAAGTGGGCAGCCTCGACATGCAGTCTGACGTTATACTGTTCAACTCGGCAATATCTGCTATTGAACAGGTTCAGAAATGGAGGCATGCCTTGGGTTTAGCAGATGAAATTTGCAGAATCAGCTTGCGGCATGATGAATTTACATATTCTGCCACAGCCAGCTCTTGTGCTACTGCAGCGGTTTGGAAGCACGCACTTGCCGTGCTGAGCAGCATGGACTTCTTGGAAGCAGCCGGCATCAGCGCATCTGCCGAATCTGCGTGCCTCATCTATGCTTGCAATGCTGCAGTCGCTGCCTGCGAACCGGCATCGCAATGGCAGCTTGCTTCTGGACTGCTGAGGTATGCATCGGCACGCAATCTTGTACCAGATGCCATCACCTTGAACACGGCTATGAGATGCCGTCGACGGACAGGACGATGGCAGGGGGCCTGCGAACTCTTGATGGATGCTGGTCATCTGCGAGTCCCAGCCACGGTTGTGCTGTGTGGAGATGCGGTTGCACTATGCGAGGAAGCCGAAAGGTGGTACGCAGCCCGTTGCATCCTTGGGAGAATTGAGAATTTCGGCCTGAGGCCGGTCATGCTGTTTCGGCAAACAAACCGAGTGCTCAAGCAACGCTGTACTGCTGCTTTTGTCAGCCTTGCGGCACGACGAGGGTCTTTGCTTTCTGCATTTGGATCGGCAGCGATCGCCCTCGGTAACCTGGTA